GTGCGCGCCCTCCGAGCCCGAGCAGCTCCACGCCGCGGAGACGGAGGAGCCCGGCAGCGAGGGGCCCGCGCCCGGCCCGGAGGGACAGCCCAAAAGGACCACTTCCCTCTGGCGGCTGCACCATGCCAACGGTAAGCGGCGCCGGGCTCCTTCCTGCGGCTCTGACGGGAGGGGGCCGGGGCGGCACCTCCTGGCCTTGCCCCTTCACAGCCTCTGCATCTCTCTGGTACCACAGGAGCGGGCGTGGGGCTCTGGCTGCTGGGTGCAGCTTGGACCACCAGGCTGCTCCTCTCGGCTAACGCTTGACCAGAGAACCCAGCGCCTGTTCAGAGGGTGATTTCTCTTGGTTTAGCCAGGTACTGTAGTTCTTGCCCCCCTTCTGAAGGGTTCAGCTCCGTAAAACCTCCTTCTTTCTCCAAAGGTCAGGAAAGCTCCATCTGCCTCCGCTCCTCAGACTGTGCTGCGGGACTGTGTTGTGCTCGTCACTTCTGGTCCAAGATCTGTAAACCTGTGCTGAAGGAAGGCCAAGTATGCACAAAACACAGAAGAAAGGGCTCTCATGGCCTGGAGATATTTCAGCGATGCTACTGTGGAGATGGTCTTTCTTGTCGCCTACAAAGAGATCATATAACCAGCAACTCCTCCTCCTCCAGGCTGCATACCTGCCAGAGACACTGATGGGAACTCCTTGCTAAATCAGATGGACTTTGGAGAGGATTTCTGTATGGTGCATTGCTTGTTGTTTTGCCAGGTCATATCTAAGGATGTACAGATTTGGAGTTTACACCAAGTACTCTACTTCCCCCCCCCACCTAAAACTGGAGTACTAGGCTTGTTTCTTTAGGGAACTACTTTTAAGTGACTAATTGCAGTAAATTACTGTGTTGTAAATGCTCAATGTGGCACTTAACTGTAAATATTCCAGAATTTTAATTATTTTTCCTAAAAGTGCTGCATAACGATCTCCAGTCTATTATTGTGACACTTTGTACACACTGGTTTTATATATAATCCTCAGTCTATTTTCTATTTACAAGTGAATAAATCTTAAATATAACAGATACTGTCTCCCTGCCTCTGTTTTGAAGTGAAGCCTTATTTAGATAACTAAGACTCCCACTGTCACCGTAGTTGAGTTGTTGCATGGTTAAGTGTAGTATGTTTTATTAAAAATAATTCACTTCATGCTGACTGAAAGAGGAAGTCCCTGAGAAGAGAACCTGTGGAGTGGAGT